AAAAGCTAAATATGTTTGCTGCGTAAATCAGACGGACTTACTGAAAATGCAAATTAATTCTCTGCCAGCAGGAGGTGCTTTAAAGCGGGAGAAACAGAGGTTTCCCCAGTAACGGCTGTACACACAGCAGCGCTGAACTCACAAACTCTGCTTTATCAGGCATATAACATTAAAGATGAAATGAAAATGACATCGAAAATTTTCTAAAGATAGACATCCTTCAGAAATACAGTGATATAAAAACACCCGCGCCTCGTTTAGATTTTTAAACGTGCAGTACGTGCTCATGTTTATTCAACGAAGCCTTTTGAAAAATCGGTTAGTTTTGATATTGTGGCGAGCGCCACAAATAGGGTTGGGTACCGAACTCTGTACTTTTAAGGGTATTTAAAAGGGAGGAATTGCATCGGTACTTCTGTTTTTTTTACTACACAAATACTGACGTACGCGTGATGCTCGCGGTGATTTTCGGCCTCTGCGTCTCACTATATGACGGCATGAACACAAAAACTTAATCTCCAGAGCTGCTGTGAGAGTCACTTTGCGAGAATTTTACCGTTTCATTTGAGAAAACTAGCATCATCATACTGTATACACACAGAAACTTCATGGCAACCTGTCAAAATAAAAGTACGGTTTAGCATGTAACAGAAATATATTACTCTTGTATTACTTTTGTACAGTATAATGTACATCTTTAAATATTCCATTTTCTATCAAATGTAAATAAAACAATTAAATGATAAAAATAAATATTACAACCAGATTAATCACTTAATTGTAGAAAAAAATACAATTAAAAAAGAAAAAGAAAGAAAGAAAAAGTTTGTAGGGCCCTGTTGTTCAAAATGTTGAAATTGAGACTTTTGGACTTATTTTTTCACTGAAATAAATGTTTTTGTAATTGCACAGAGAGTAAAGTACCGAAAAAAGGTACCGTTGGGTACCGGCACCGAAATTCAGGTACCGATACCGGTACAGTACCGGTTCAAATGTGAACGGTACCAAACCCTAGCCACAAATAAATAAATGTATGGGAAACACATCCCACAGCACAACCACCTGAGCCCAACTTCAGCCTACTCATCACCTTAACTTTAACTGCGTTTGTAGCTGGCGCCATAGCCAGACTGATAAACAAACACAGACCGGAAGTTAACTTCGGGCCAGGCGCGTGGGCCCGATGAAACCATCTATATAAAGCTTGAAGCATCAGAATCGGCATCGGTATCGGCCGATCACCATGACAAGAAATCGGTACTCAGTATCGGCTGCAAAAATCCTGATCGGAGCATCCCTAGTGAAGAACCTTTTTGTATTAGACACACAAATGTGAGTGTGCTTGAATGTTTTAATCTGGTTTCAGAGAGGCTAGATTTGTATTTGATATTGTATCTATTTTAAAAAGAACTTTTTTTAAAATTATTATTTACTTGTTTTGTTTTTTTTTCAGGTAAAACAGTTTCATTTCTAATATTTAAACAAAGTTTGTTTTTCACTTCATTAACTTAAGAATGCTGTTTTTTCCCATTTTTATTACTTGGTCTTTATAGGCGCAGACAAGAGAACAGGAAATTATGGGGAAAAGAGAGATTTTTTTAATCTTTTGGTGCTAGATTCGAACCTACAGAACTCAATGTGTCAAAATTTGTGTGCTAATCGCTAAGCCACAGCTCCAACCTAACTGATCTAAAAAGTGGTATGCTACTGTTTTGTTTTGAATACATAGCCACTAACAATAGATTAATCTGATTCCAACAGTAACGAGCGGTTAAATTAATTGAATGCTCCCTATTGTGGTTTCCACCAAGCATAACAGTTGTTATTAAAGTGGCTGGAAAATTGGCTAGGTGGTGAAGTTTTATCACAAGAATATACAGAATGGCGCAATCAGCTTGATCTGTTACTTGTAAGAGGAATTAAAGAAGGGAAAAACGAATTTCAGACTGTTTTTACATTGGCAACTGGTTTGTCTGGGGTTTACACTCAAACACCTGTAATTATAGAGCTAGAGAACTGTTCTTACAAAGTTTGTCTCGTTTGTGCTCTTTATTTGACACCGGTTGATTGACACCAGAGACATTTGAAAGTTTAATGTCTTAACCCCCCAGCAGGTAACGTGTTGAGATCTTGCGTGTGAAATGTCTTGGCAGTAATGAGACTTATTGAGTGTCAGCCCGAGGCATCAGGGTGTGACGTCCCACCTCCCCGAATCATTCGACTTCAAAACATCAACAGAGACCAGTTTGTGACAGTAGTTGCTGCTCTGAAGATCATGCATCACGCAAACGGCAACAAAAAGACCAGTGAGGTGCGTGATATGACATGTCTAGTCCTGCAGGAGGAACAGTCAGATTTTAGAGCGCACACATTTGCTGCCCCCGGCTATAGCCCTGGGAAACGCTTACCAGGAAGTACTGTGACAAGATATGTAGTTTCATGATGAACTTCAATGGAAAAAAGAGAACAGTATCAAGGATCTACTTCAGTTAGGATTATAGAATTAACTTCAGTGATAGTAATGCATTTCAATTTAATGAGAGATAAACAGACGGGTGTTTTCACACTCAGTCATTGGTGTCTCAAAGTGTAAATTTTGACTGTTGTAAATGCTCCGAACATTGGACTTTTAACTTGCAATATGCATGCAAGGTTCACTTTATTTTTGTTTTATTGTATGTTATATAATATGTATATTATATAATGTATATTTACATTAGATGTAGCTCAATGATAACGGGTGCAGAAAATCAGGTTTTGTGGGAAAATTCAGTTGACAGCATTTCTTCACATTTGGAATGAGGAGCAACTACACAGAAATTGAAATATTTTTAAAACATTTAAAATGAAAATGAATAACTAAATGAAATTGTTTTTTTTTAATTGAAATATATTACTAGAATTGTTACTTTACACTTTCATGGTTCACTTTTTGAAGAGGACTCAAATAATGGAAGAATGAAACTGAAAGAGAAGCGTGTGTTAAAGTGAGGTGAAGGGCAGTTTTTTCAGCCAATAAGAGAAACCGTTCTGTGCATAATTTGCATATTGCATAAGCTACATCCTGCTTAAACACAGTCAGCAGTCCAGTATAAAGCGTATCTGATTAGACGGTTTAATGTCAGCTTTGAGACTGTTTGCACCGTCTCAACACAATTAATTTTAATATTTCAGTCACTGTGACTCACAGGGTCGATTATGTTAATAGAAATTGTTATTTCAGAGTTTCCGACTCATTAGATAAAGTGACCTTTTATGTGTTTATGGGTGGGCGGGTGAATGGATGTATCATTGCGATGTAATGCCTAATCTAACTAGTTTATCAGCTTTTGTAATCGGAATTATTTAGATAATAATTTATCATAGAGGCTGTTAGTAAGCCAGTCTAGTCTATGCCTTTCCCAGATGTGTACCTCAACTGTTAGCAAGTGAATAGTTGAATTGTCTCGGATCAGTGATTAAATAAAGCTTTTTTTTGGCTGTGCTTCTCAGCTGTACATGTGCTAGCCCAAAAATCTAGCATCTTTTTTATGTTTTCCTTTCCTCAGCTGACTTTAGGTTGGAAAAAATTCAAACAAAATCCAGCTGTGTGTGTGTAGGACCCTAAAAATTGGCTGCCTTTCCTGATTGTGAGAGATTGATTGTTTTTCACTGTTTTCCTTACCTAGAAGGAGAATAATTTGAAAAAGATTCATTGTGTTATAATGAATACAATTCATAGCAATCATTTCAAACATACTGTATTGGTAAATAAAAGTCATTTTAGCTAGATGAAGAAAATAAAAAGTAAGAAGCTTCCAGAGTACATGGCTTTGTTGATCCTAATAGGAGCGATCTAGTTTTTGTGCACCAAGCTTGCTGTACACTAACCAAAGATAATGAGTGCATAGGCTTGAGGGGTTGTGGAAGAGCTGGTTTCTCTGGCACCCTGGCTGTGGAAAGGGGTTTGTGTGAGCAGTCTCTTGATGAATGTGCAGTGCTCTTCCTACACGCTGGAGGGGTTGCTGCAGTGATGCATTAGTGTGATATGCAGAAGCGAAGTAATTGACCGGTTTAAAAAATTTTTTTTTTTTTAATTTTCAGAATAATTTCTCCAGTCTTCAGTGTCACATGATCCTTCAGAGATTCTGATATACTGATTTGGTGCTTCATAAATGTTTTTTTTTAGTATCAATGTTGAAAACAGTTGTGCTGCTCTGTTTTTGTTAAAAACATGATACATTTTTTTTCTTCAGGATTCTCTGATGAATAGAAAGTTCAAAAGCATTTATTTGAAATAGAATTCTTTTGTAATATTATAAATATCTTTACTGTCAGATTTGATCAATGTGTAATAAATATGAATTTCTTACAAAAAATCTTACTGACCTCAAACTTTTGAACAGTAGTTTATTATAGTATGTATAATTTGTTAACCGTACAGAATGAAGAATTTAACATCGTTTTTCAGTTCCCAGCTCTATTCCTCCTATTTCAATTCTTTAAATAATTCTATACATTTTTGTATTTAGAGAGGAAATGCTGCTCGGTCAAGATGTGTGTATGTGTCCTGTCCTCGCCTCTTCTGCGTCAGAAGTTTTGGGCAAGCGATTCCTTTAATCCTCGTTAATGAGAAATCTGAGTGATTTCATTTGAAGCACACATTCCTGTGAAAGATAAGATGAGTTATGTTGCAAGCTGTCTGAGACATGTTACAAAATGAAGCCTATTCAGCCACTTATTAAAGAGAAAGAGGGGGAAAGAAAGGAGTGAAGAGAAGAGAACAATGTGATGAAACGGTTCTTTCAGGACTCTTAAGCAACATGTTTTTCCTCTTGGCATTTCACAGCTTCTGATGGAGCTCCGAATGGAAGATTGTGAGATTAAGGACACTGATATTAATTTCCTTTCTCTTTTTTTTTCCCTCCAGGAGCGACGAAAGAGATCGGATCGGCTTTGACCAGGATGTGTATGAGACACAGAAGCATTGAGAACAAGCTCAAACTATTCACCACGTACGACTATTTAATTCTCTTTTGTTATTTATAAGCTCATTAGTTGAATTGGTAATAAAGATTAAGTATTATACAACGCATTAACTGTATGGTGTGTGTGTGTGTGTGTGTGTCCAGGGCTCTCATGGATAACTTGATCACTCCTCTGGAACTGAAAATTGAAGAGTGGAAGAAGGTTGCCAGTCAGCTGGATAAAGACCACGCCAAAGGTATCGGCCTTCTTCCCTCCGTGATATAATCAGAATTCAACAGGTTTAGTATTTAATCTTTGTGTTGAAAAAGCTCCTGTACAGAAGGAGGCAAAGTATCGTTTTAATCCTTTAATGGAGGGTTTTCAAGCTAAGTGGGTTGAATTTAAAGGTAGAGTTAACCTGAAAATGAAAAATTCATAAAACAAGTGAAAGCAGAATAAAAACAATACCTAGAAGAATATCCAGGCTGTTCCATACAGCATGTTCAGACTTTATATATTAATAATGTACACAAACAATTAAATTGTTAATTAAAATGGTAATGGAATCTAGTATTTCTTTATCCTTTGAGATAAGAGTTGATTATACTATGAAACCGTTTACATAGAAATCTTAAGAGGAAAAATGCCCATTCAAAACTAAGTTATGATTGTTATTGGCACAGAAAACTCGTTGACCTCAGTGCAAAAACAAAAAAGTATATCACCACCCCCTTTAAGAACATCACTGTCGGAAAACCTGTCCTCTTAGCTGCACACTGTTACTTATTAAATGGCTCTTAACTCTGTGGGAGTCCCTCAGACAGTTATATTACAGCTCACAATGGATAATTTATTCATAAGAACAATCCATTATGTCATATAAAAGATTAGGCATTCAATCAGTTAGCTTGCAGTTCGCCAGTGAACGCGCGGCTACACCCATGCTATCTCCAACACGTCTGTCTGAGGTTGCTAAGGGGTCGTTTCATTTGACATCATTGTGAATCATTTATTAGCAGTGCTTGCTAAGGCAGGCAACATTATTATTGTTTCTCATATTTAAGATTAGGGATTTGAACCACTGAACTTATTAATATTTAGCTTTTGCTTCCACTGAAGAGGCTAATGTTGTTCTTTCCCTGCCTTTGTTGTTTTTTAGAATATAAGAAAGCACGTGCAGAGATCAAGAAGAAATCTTCAGATACGATTAAACTGCAGAAGAAAGTTAAAAAAGGTAAGATCTTGATGCTTAGATACGACATCTTTGAATGAAAGGGTGAACACCTTGGGTAAATAGTGTTTTAATTATGTTCTATGAGTTGAAACATATGAAGTCCTGTGGTCTTGTTACACACTCGCACACTCTTTCTCAAATTACAGCCTCAGATCTCTTTGTCTAAACACAATAGGACATACCCATGACTTCTGTTGGCGCCGCACCCCGTGTTGTCATAATACCACACCCTGTGTTGTCATGGCATCAACCTTGGCCATCTTGCCCCTGGTCATAAGGCGCTGTTAACTGAATGTTCATTTGAAATAGTCCTTCAGTGTTTATTTTTACAACTTGACAAAAAACTACATCTAGCCAAAATCTAACTGAATGATGAGGCAGTAGTTTCACCAACAGAACCTAATACACTTTTTGGGAGAATCTCACAACACCTATAACGAACATGTCTAGGTCATATTTCACCCCCCAAATTATTAATTATTATTTGCATAAAGACAATAAAGCTTGTTTGTAGAACTAAGATCCATTGTGATGTTATTTTTATAAGTTAAGCACATTCATCCCCAAATTCTCATTATTGTAATGCATTACTGTAAAAAAAAAATTCAATTGTATTCATACAGCATGGCAGTATTGACTTTATATTGTCTTTATATTGTTTAAAAAAATTGTATTGCAAAAAAGAATCAGAAGACTGAAGTTATTTTTAGATCACTTGTATAGTATTATAGTATTTATTAATATTTTGAATCAACTTTTTAATTTGATTAATATTTTTAGTTTTAACAAATTAATGTGTGTTTCAGTTTTTTTCTTAATAATTTAAATTTAACTTGAATTTATTTATTTCTGTTTTAGTTTAGTTAGTTTTAGTTAGTAATTTAGTACCTACTCTTGTTTTTTTTTTTGTTTTTTTTATTCTAATTTCTGTCTAGGTTTTTAATCGAATATTTTTTTTTATTTCAGCTTTATTTTAATTAATGAGAATTATTTTTAATAGGTTTGGTTTTAATTAACAATAAAAACAAAGTAAAGCGTGTTACGGTAATGGGAATTTGGGGAGGTGGGAGTATGTATAATTCTCATGAGAATAATATTGCAATGCAAACAATAGTGCATAAATAATATTTATTTTCTTTTTTTTTTTTTTACAAAATATAAATACTTTCTTTTGATTTTAGTTTGAAATGGTTTAGACGTGACATTTAAGCTTCTTGTATTAAATGGTTAACAGGCTTTAAATGAGATTTGAATACTGTTGGCATAATTTCGAGGGTGTTGGGATGTGGCATGAAACGAGTTTAAGATGGTGGAAGAGATGTGAGGGATAAATGGAGCCGTGATGAATTGAATACATGGAATAGAGGCGATGAGAGAGATAAATGCATATGCAGATGTGTTCTGTCATTATGGTGGGTGTCGTCTGCTTCAGCTGTGTGTGTGTGTGTGTGTGTGGGCAGCAGTTAGAGACTGACTCTTCACTTCTGCTCTGGTCTATTTGAGGGGTCAACACTCCCGCTGCTTATTTATATTCTGCATCCACCCTCATGCAAACGCTTACTCAACATTTCCAGATGATATTATAAAAATGACTTTTGCGTTTTCTGTGTGCTCATACATAAAAACCCCTGATCGAAGTCCATTTTATGATTTGTAAGCTTTCTGGTGCCAAGGACCCTCAAGTATGATAATCTCCTTTCCGAGGAGCCCCTTCCTAATATATTAGATTTAAGAAATAAAGACTTTTATTCAGTAAGGATGGATTAAATTGATCAAAAGTGACAGCAAAGACTTTACATTGTCACAAAAGATTGATATTTCAAATTATTTCATAAATCTGTTGTTTTTAAACTATGTTCAAAGAATCCTGAAAAAAAAATATCACGGATATTTCCACAATTTCCACAAAAATATTAAGCAGCACGTCTATTTTCGACATTGATAATATTAAGAAATTGATTTTGAGCATCACATCAACATATTAGAATGATTTCTGAAGGATCATGTGACACTGGAGGGACTGTATGGAGGGGTTTATTTATTTAAAAAAAAATTTTTTTTTTTTTTTTATAGGGGTAAAAACTAGCATTTGAGGAAATGAGCAGTTTTTGATAGAGCATTGTCACCAGAATAGCTCATATCTCAAGGCCACACAAACTCTCAAAGAGGAAAGAGATCCCCCATCCTTCCTTCCATTGGCGTGTCATCTTTCCCAACATTGGGAAAACACCCTGTGGTCATATACTCCCTTTCATACGGAGGGGTTCTTCTGCTGCTGCTGCTGCTGCACGATCTGTCTTGTCTTGTATTTACGAGTAGTATGACCTTTGATCCGGTGTCTTTTGGTTTAATAGTCACTTACTGATTCTGAAAACTGAACCAAAGGGAAATCTGTATAATAAGGCTGAACACATTTCTTTGGGGATATTTACAACAGAGATTTTGTTCAAATTCATTAGTAATTCTCTGGGAGACTGTTTGTATCTCCGTGGTTTGATTCGATCAGTGTTGTTCTATATTTGCATTTTCTACCATGTATTATTTTGCATTTCCAAATAGCTAGTAGCCTAGTTTCATATACTCACCAATGATCATTTTTACTTGGAATTTTTACCACATGCAAGGGGGTAATTTATGGAGGGTTTATTTATTTAAAAAAAAAATTTTTTTTTTTTTTTTATAGGGGTAAAAACTAGCATTTGAGGAAATGAGCAGTTTTTGATAGAGCATTGTCACCAGAATAGCTCATATCTCAAGGCCACACAAACTCTCAAAGAGGAAAGAGATCCCCCATCCTTCCTTCCATTGGCGTGTCATCTTTCCCAACATTGGGAAAACACCCTGTGGTCATATACTCCCTTTCATACGGAGGGGTTCTTCTGCTGCTGCTGCTGCTGCACGATCTGTCTTGTCTTGTATTTACGAGTAGTATGACCTTTGATCCGGTGTCTTTTGGTTTAATAGTCACTTACTGATTCTGAAAACTGAACCAAAGGGAAATCTGTATAATAAGGCTGAACACATTTCTTTGGGGATATTTACAACAGAGATTTTGTTCAAATTCATTAGTAATTCTCTGGGAGACTGTTTGTATCTCCGTGGTTTGATTCGATCAGTGTTGTTCTATATTTGCATTTTCTACCATGTATTATTTTGCATTTCCAAATAGCTAGTAGCCTAGTTTCATATACTCACCAATGATCATTTTTACTTGGAATTTTTACCACATGCAAGGGGGTAATTTCATGAAAAATATCATGAACAATCATTACTTTTATCTGTAGTACCTCCTACTAGGAGAGTCCTTTACTGTGATGTTAGTCATCTGCAGCTGGCCTTGTCCTGACACAGTCTGAATCATAAGATAGGGGCTGAATGAAATGTTAGCATGTTGATTCAGAGGCTAACGCACACCCATAACCCCATCCTAGCGCTGTTTGAGTTACTGCCATAACTCTCACAGGTGGTGAGAAAATTTAAATAAATATGGCGTCTAGACCTATGATGCGTCTCGGAATGCACATTCATCTTTATATCTTACATTTGTGTTACTCTGAGGTCTAGGGGGCAGACCTCTCAGAAGTCTTGGAACCGTCTGTGTGGGGATTGTGAAGAAAAGGAGCATTGGATCTGAATTATTCAAACTCATGCACATTAGTATTCCAATGCTGTTGCTGCCGTGTTTGAGATGGTATGAAGAACCAGAGCTCTGGACATTCTCTGCTCTTTCTTTGGTGTCTGAATTAACTACATTTTTAAATATGAATGAAATGGTTTAATTTTAGAATTTGTTTATATTTCGTCTCAGATTTAATGCATTGATAATCGATTTCATCATTTTATTCATATGTTATTTAGACCTAGTATGCTAAATGATATGCAGCCCAGGTATATTCACATGTTGCTGTGCACTCGTTGTTTAAAAATGAAATCCTTGAGGGCCCTTAGTCACAGATCCAGTGTAGTACCACCTACTGGGTGGAGGCTAACCATCATCATCATCATCATCAGTAAGGTTCCTTTGCCCTACTTCTCCCAGAAAACCTGCACACCTGCCTCCTGCATGTGTTTATGGAGAGAAGGTGTCTGCTCATGACATCATAGCTTCCAACAGCTCGGGACTTCTAGACCTGAAGGAATGTCTCTGTGGCGCACACACCTTTGTCCGAATGGCTCTGGGTTATTTTCCCATCACCTCCCTTTTCTGTTTTTAAATGGGGTTTGTTTTTTGTTTAAATAGCTCAAATGAACCAAACACTAGAGCTGTGTTACTTTTCTAAAAATGTGCATGGGGCTTTCCATTTGGTTCTGCATAATTGCATAAAATGCATAATTTCCCATAGATTATTGATAATGGTCCGTATACTTTTGCATCCATTAATTTTTCCTTTTTTAACCTAGAACATGGAAAATGTAAAACATGGAAAATGTGGTTTCTTCTTTAATGGTTCTGACACTCATTAATAGAATAAGCAGACACAAAATTCTTATTTCATAAAAAAATCTTAAAAATGTTATACAGCTTGTTTTTTTATGTATATAAATGCTAAATTTAATTTCTAGTGTTTTAGCATTTCTATACACATGCTAAAAGTGCCCTCTAGTGCTACTGATGTGGCTACCAGTAACCCATTGCTTTATAAAAAATCTCTGGCGTCAATATTGAAAGGCATTGACATTTTTATGATCATATAGCTAGTTTTGCAAAATATCTTGATAATTTTTCACGGCTAAAAATATTTAATTCTTTGCATTTAATCAGCTGTTTGTATCCAGGCACGGTCTACGGGGGTGCTAGAGATGCCAAGCACCCTCAAACGAAACTCAAACGTTTTAAAATCATACTTTAAAGTCATGCATTCGGCTCTCAATCGAGCATGTGGGAGAAGCATTACTCCTAATTTGGCCAAACAGAACTTTTAAAATCAACGGTTTTTTCAATATTAATTTGTGCATTTTGAAAATGTTTATTAAGGGTGCAAAAAGTCATCAACAAAAATCTGAAAAGAAGTCAATATTTTACTTTTTCTCGCAACATTTTGTGTGTATGGTTCTACTTTCAATTTTGGTTTTCAACATAGCATATACAACAACCGTTCTTTTTTCATTTCATTTTTTTCGTCATGGTTAAAAAATGAGAAATGAATGGACGCAAAAGTACATGGATCAATAATTAGCATTTTTTTTAAATAAAATAATTTATGAAATATTTTTATTGTATATTATTAATAAATAATTCATTTATAATTATAATTTTTATTTTTTTCATTTTCATTAAAAGGTTTGAGTGGTGCTTGCCAGTACAAAACTCGCCTTCATGATGCTAGTGTGTTTTAGGTGGTTGCTATGCAGTTGCTAAGGCGGTGTCCTAGTAGCCGACTCAAAGCAACTCAATTATGGTCATGGTGTAACACCTGCTGAATGTTTTTGATGGACTGAAGTCTTCTTAGTGGTTGCTAGGACATTGCTATGTTGTTTCTATGGTGATGTTAAGGTGTTCTAAGGGGTTACTATGAGGATCGTTTTTAGATTATCACTCTTTCACATTTCAGTGTTGGGTTGTATTCTATTAACAAGAAACAGGCTCCTGTAACATATTTAAGATATAGCTGCATGTTTCCTAAGCCATTTGTCTTCCAGACAGGCCGTGGGATTTATCAACAGACCTACTGACCTTTGCCCTTTAAACTGAAGATGGCCCCAGCCCTAAGCTGTCCTACCCAACCAGGTTCCTTTTAGCCTTCACTTCAGGCTGTGTTTGAAGGTGTAATGGTCTAAGAGCATCTAAACACACATACGGTCACACAATCACACAAGGTCAATGCACTCAAGCACCGGGGATCACATCTCTGCCTGGAAGGTCAAAGGACTTAACTGAGTTCCGCAACACTGATGAGGATTGCTTAAATCCCAAAAATGCATACGCAGCACTTAAACGGATTTGCAGAGGTTGTTTAGATTTACTGTGCTTTGGCGCTTGTGCAACGCTTGTGGATCTGATTCTGTTATTCAATTAAAATGTCAAATAGACTCAAGAGGTGTTCTCTAAATGCTATTGAGCCTTTTTGTGAGGGTTCTGTTTTCTTAAAATGTTAATTTTAATTGTAAAAATGTCCCATTCTCAGGCGTATTTGTCACCAGTGATTTTTTTTTTTCTTTTTTACTACTTAAAAGTGTCTAATTAGGGGGTCACTGAGATTAAATAGTATTCACCAGGTCATGTTATCTCAATATGCCAGCATATCATTTGTAGTCTTTAAAGTGAGTGAACGTCATTATAAACATGTCTAAAGAAACTTGTAGTGCCTGTGAAAGAAAGCATACATCTGTCTTGCATGCCAGCTTGGAGTGCAGAAGATCAGATGTCACAAAGGACACCTGAGGTTATTGTTAGCAATGGGGATGATGAGATCAGTGGTGTATGCGTCTGCACACCCTGCACACAGCTGTCAGAATGCTCTCCTGTTGGTGGAATGTTGATACGAATCGTCCACAAACATACACAAAAGACTCTAAAAGGTGGTTTTTAAGCAGCGATGCCTTAGAAGACCCATTTTTGGTTCCCCAAAGAACCTTTCAGTAAACAGTTCTTAAAAGAACCATGTTTTTCTTAGTGTAAAGAACAATTTAACAATTAATGGAACCTTTTTTCTTTCCATTATAAAGAACCTTTTGTGCATTTGCGTGATATATATGTGATGTGTTTGCTGACAATATAAAATTAGGATTAAATATTAAAGGTATTGCTCATCCCTATCATGCACACCAGGGTTGGAAGTTAACAAGGGCTTAGGGCAAAAATGCCACCAAATGAACAAAAATGCTCCCCAAATTCATGAGAAGGGGGCAAAAAATGTCCCTGGACAATTAAGATAGACGGCTGCCACCATTAAAGTGAAATGTGAAATGAATTCCCTTAATGGAAAAGTTCATTTCTGGTCCTGATGCACTCACGCATACACAGTCGAAAAATGCAGTAATGTGATTGCAAAAGCAAAGAAACTATTCATTTAGATGAGATGTGTTGGGGATGATGCATCTGCTGAGAGATGAAAAACAGAGGAAAAGGCCAGGTCATGTGTTCAAAGCTCCTCACGTGGTGTGTGCTGGCATGAGGTAAACAAACCTCTAAATGTGATTAACCTCACATTTCTCCCATTGCACTTCATCAGTACAGTTAAAGCACCAGGAGACAGAAACAGTCATATCATATTAAAAATCACTCCGTTATGCTCTTATGGTAAATACTTTGCATCTTTTTTGTTTTTCTTGTTAACTTGTTTTGCCAATTCTTTTTTTTTTTCAGTGAATTTTAGAGTGTTTGAGTGAAATCAGTTATCTTATGTCTTATTTTCTATCATTAAGCTCTATTATATAGCCACGCCTAGCACCATGGAATCTAGATATCGATGTCAGTCATTAAAAACAGCCGTATTGGTCGATCACTGCTATGTTGTAGTATTACTAGTAGCTACTATGGAATGTGAGGGGTCTCAGTGGCAGCTGGGCTTTAAATGCAACACAAGAACACATGCACACCATACAGTCCACCTGTGTGCCATTACCAGAGACCCCAGATCCATCGTCACGCCTGGTCACGAATGACCAAGGAAATCTGCACAGCGAGGCTCTTTGAACAGCTATTAGCATTGCAGCAAATATCAATGGTGTCTTAAGTGTTTATAGAAACTGTACTGCCTCCTAGTGGTTGCAAACAACATGAGTTTTAGCATCAAACTGCAAGGCAAAGTTATTCCTTGCTTCAAATATCAACAACAAAGAGCTGTTGTTTTAGTATTATTTGTATAGTATTGTACTATTTATATACTATTATAACATTTATCAGTATATTGAATTAGTTTTTATTTTTATATTTCATTTTAATATTAGTAATTTTACATGTTTTTGCAATTATTACAAAGTTGTTGTTGTTTATGTGTATATATTTCTGTCTAGCTTTTTTTTTGCTTTAATAATTTGAGTACTTTTAGTACAAAGTCAAAGTCTTTTTGATCCTGTCAGTGGTTTATGAAATGTCGTTGTGTTTTCACAGGTAAAGGTGAGGTGCGGATGCAGCTGGACAGCGCCCTTCAGGACGTCAACACACGCTACGCAGTTTTAGAGGAGACTGAGAAGAGAGCCGTGTGTCGAGCACTTATTGAGGAAAGAGGAAGATTCTGCTCATTCGTCACAATGCTCAAACCTTTCCTGGTGAGTGTCTGAGCAGACTCTGATAAGGCACTATATTTTGCAAAAAGAAAATGCCTGGCTTAAGACCACACCATTTTGTCAGCATTTTACATTACATCATCATTTCCATAATATTTGAACATTTTGAACTGTAAAATACCTGAATGTTGTGAGAGTATTTGGTTTTAATGCCTTTAAATTGATGCTGTTTTTCATTAAACAGGAAGATTGTCATTATTACATCAGAATGCATTAGAATTATGAGAATTTGGGGGGAAAAAGTACTTGATTGCCATGAAAATGTGCTGTTATATATTTTTATTTTATTCTGCTTAAATATTATCACACCGTTGATTTTTTTATTTGTAATGTCAGGACGAAGAGATAAGCATGCTTGGTGAAGTCACCCACTTACAGACAATTCTAGAAGATCTCGGCAATCTGACGGCTGATCCCAACACACTGCCTCCTGCTAGTGAACAGGTGCTGCATGGATTCTAATCAGGCACATTATGTCTGTTTTGATCTGTAGAGCTGTATATGTTCTTGCACTCTTGACTTCCTGGTCTGGTTTTGTTTATGCAGGTTATTCTTGATCTGAAAGGCTCAGACTACAGCTACTCATATCAGACTCCACCCGCGTCTCCTAGCAACACGTTATCACGCAAGAGCAGCATCAGCAGGTGAGTTCAGTGTCGGGAAGAAATGTGTGTTGCAAGAACTGTTAGCTAACTTGCAAATTGATAATTATTATATTTATATTGTAGTGTTTTTTGCTGCTAGGCCAAATTTTAAATTTTTTTTAACATTGTATTGACTGTCTTTCTTAGTGGTAACCTTTAAGCTTTCTACAGTAAGATATAATTAACAGTGATATATGTAACAGTGATCGGCTTAACTGCACATTGCCTTATATATAATATTATTTTTCTTTGAAAATGTTTGGAAAAAGAGGAGCGCAGGTGACAAACAATTGCGTGTTATTGTAAATAATCAGTATAAACTTTCTCTCTTAGTAACTACACCTCTGTGCGTCATGTCCCATCTCTGGACTCCATCTCCAGTGCAGTGGATGGGCTTCATCTGCGAGCACCAGACACAACACAGGTATCATGGATACACGCGCCACAACACAAAACAATGGGTCCAAAAGGTACCTAGTTCAGTTGGTATATTAACCCTAAGAAACCCAAATAGTTTGAATAATTTTTCACCCAGAACACACATGCAGCCTCATTCAGCCCAAAGAAGCGCATCCGGCTGCAAGCACCATCAAAGCCTGCAGTTTGCTGTGGTGCCTAATCCAACCCTCAAAATCCAACCTTTTTGAACCCCAAGATCAAATCAGCAAATTGATCATCAGTACACAATCATAATTGGACAGTACTTCAGTGCAAATAATATCAAATATTTAATGTAGTTTGTCTGGGTATTACAGTGTAAGTGTATTGCAAATAAGGTAGTATTTCACTGTTGTGATGCTTAAAATAGTAACACATAAAATGCATGATAATAAATTTGACAAAGTTATACAGTTTTATTACACAGTTCAGTGTTTTACAAAAAAGTAGCATAGGTTAATACTATGAGAACACTAAATTATAATACAGTTTGCTATGATTATGTGTAGTATGCTAGTTTATCAGTCCAATGTATTAGCCAAGTTAACCATAATGTGGAGACAAAAAGAAATATTATGGCAAAATACCACAGGGGAATAGGGTGACATTTTTATTTAATAGATATCACCATACATTCCCAGGTCATTAATCACAGTACATTAAGACATTAAACGTTGTATTGCAAGTTTTCTGAATTGTTGTTTAAATAAGTAAATTAAGAAAATATAATTAAATGCATTCATTTGCATGCATTTGAAATCTGATCATTGGATAAAGCCAGGTCCAAAATTCTTGTTTAATTTTGTTGACATATTAAAGGTTTTACAGGGGAGATTTATTTTTAGCACTTTTAAGTTGGGTGTATGAACTGTTAAAGTGATTTCTGGCTCAGTCCAGGAGAAAAAAAGTATCTATTGTGAGATATCTCCGAATCAGCCATGCATGAAAAAGCAGTGGCTTTGCCTTTAGGGTCTTGCCTTATATTTGACCATTAGTAGCTATATTATGTGACACTTGTAATTTTAAAGACGGATCAACAAGTGGCATTTTACTATTTTCTGAATAGAATACCCAAAAGCAGTTACTTTCAACCAGGAAATTTGTTTAGGGGTCTAAGGGGGTTTGTATTTTGACGGAGGCTTGGATTCATCTAATGTCATCTTTCTCTTGTTCCACTCCTCTCTGCCCCTCACCTCCATCTCCCAGCGCTCATGCAGTCCTCTCCTCCTGGTTGGAGGGGAGGAAGGCACTCGCTCTCTCAGTGAGGGGAATTCTCCCACAATCCCTCGCACGGGCCACCAACACCTCCGGCACAGGAGCACTGTGAGCATAGACTCAGTGTAGTGCTGTGTGTGACTGTGGATGGATTCATTACTGTTGCATGTACTCCTGGACACTTGCCTCTGATGGTTTTCTTCTGTGGTTTTCTGTGGTTTTCATCGTGCATGTGTAGAGGTTGTGTCTATGTGAAGGTAGACAGTGCCCTCTGCAGGCTATTGAGAGGGACGCCTTCTGATAGCTGTACACGGGGAGAAAGAAGCAATTTTAAATAATTTTCTGCTTTTAGTGTCTGTTTTTGAATATAATATCAGTCCCATGTCTTAAAACAAACACACTAACCAGTTTGCATATCTACAACTAAAAACCTGCATGCTCTGACAGGTCCATCTGAACTTTTCTACACTTACCAAACTGTCGTTAAAGTCAACATGAAATCAAAACAGTCAGTTTATATACATTTCTGGTCGTCTTGTGTGCAGATGTTCACAATCCTTTATTATTATTCCTTTCCTCCTGATGGTTTAATGTTAACCAATGGCAGAATTTAGGATTTAGGGTTCATTTTTTGCTACTTTTGTAGGTAATGCAGCCTGTATACAATATCAAATATTTTAAGTAGGGATGCACCGATACTGGTATCGGCATCGGGCCCGATACTGAGCTCATGTACGGCGGCGCAGATGCGCGAGCTTGTCGAGTGAATATATCTTTCTCACAGACATCACTGGAAAGTATTTTAAGTAGAAATGTTTAACTCCTTCCCTGCCAGAGTATTCTTTTTAAGTTGCCAGCCACCGCAGATATTTTTGATCATATTCACAAATCTTCATAAATTGCCCCCACAATATTCTGTTGTATGAATATGTAAACAGAGGTTTCTGTTTATTTTTATTTTTACATATTCATTTTTCAGCAACAGAAAAAATATTCCAATTGATTCATTCTTTGTCAACATCATAAAAAATTTCAAAAAAAATTTTCAAGCAGAAAACTTTTATATTTTCATTTTATTTATTTTTTTAATTCCATATAGCAACATCAGTTGTATAATTAAAAAAAAAAATTCCAAAGCTTGCCTCAATAAAGCTTGTCAAAAATTATGCAAAATGTGTCAGTGGTGGAAAAAGAGTTAACATTGTTAGAATAAAGCATTCTGCAATTGAAGCAAATAAAGGTAAATAACAGAACGTAATTGCAAAAATTATTAAAAAGAACCAGTTAACATTGCATGGGTGAACTTGACCTTCAAGCTCCATGTCCTGGTTAAAAAACCTCCACAGTGCTCTGCAAACTCGCATTCAGATCTGGAACGCCCATTTTCATGATCCACAAATTTCCTGTTGGATCAAATGAAGTCCCGCCCTATATTTTAATATATTGCTTAATCATGTCACATCATGATAAAATGGTTTGTGAACACCATTTCATGTTGGCTTTAAATCCTTATTACCTTGTAACTACAGTTTGTCATAGTGTTTTGTTTTTGTTACTTACTAAGTTGAGATGGAGTAACCGAGTATATTTTTGTGTAGGAAAAAGGTCAGAACTCTCCAGGCACAGAGAACGGGACCTCCATGCCCCCACTGCACAAAGTTTACAGCGGGCATGAGGAGAGAGCCAGGACACTCTCCACCTCGGGCAAGGTACACGCTCATTTAAATGCAGGAATGATTTCTAAGCAAAAATGTAAAAAAAAAAATTTCTACTGGAATCATTGTGATGGACACTTTTTCCGATCTCTGAGTGGCTCTCATTGCTGTCTGTAGCCACAGTCAGCCAGGGAGCAGCTGGCTCTTACTCTTGGAGGCGGGCTAAATTCAGAAGCTCCTCGGACCAGCCGAGATTCCCTCCACTGCTCCAGCGGATACAGCACCCAGACGACAACGCCATCCTGCTCAGAAGACACCATTCCCTCGCAGCATGGTCAGTATGCGTGTATGTACACTCACATGCATGAGCTTTTTCTTTTTCTGTTCTGTAATTTTCCTTTCAAATCTTCATTGCACACAACTTGGAGAGATTATAAACAGTACTCAGTCTAGATTTCTTTTTCTCAATTTTTACCCTTTTTTTTACCCTCAACACAGTAATCTGATTTGTGGTTTGTGTGCACATCAAATGTGCTTTATGGTCCAATTTTAGACCAAATCTGATGTGCTTGCACGAATCACAGGCTTAGATTGCTGTCCAAAGTGCATGTTTCTGGGCCTTTGTATAAATGTTAAATGTACTTTATTGTTCTTTTACAGCGGTAAAGAAAGAACCTCCTCTATATGGTAGGTTTCTGAATGCCATTGCATAGACTTAATTATTCTCATTGTGATCATATACCAATAATAAACAACATTAAATGTCTTTATTTTTGGGAATCCATGTCATATCGCAGGCGTGCCTTTGTTGAAAGAGTGTTATCTGTATGCATAAGATTTGAGTGTGTGCAACCATGAGATATAACTAGTGGCATCTCGTTAGTCTGTTGTCCATCTTCTCATGTTGCCTGAGTTTAACTGAAAGACACTCTCAAACAGAGCTTTTGTTTGTCTGTTTTATTCATTTTCTAGGAGGTAATCCAGTACTGCTCTCTTCATGCAGTCATTTTTTTAAGGCTGTCAATTTAGTGCAATTAATTAATAATGTGATTAAGACAATAATACGATTTTTAGGTTTATATTTTATTTAATTTTAGTATACTTGCTATTTAAAAATTTTTTATATGCATCTCAAATTTGCATAATTTTCCCTTTGCAGTTTGCAGTTATTGCATGTGCATTTAGTCCAAAAGAAAGAGATTTTTATTTATTTTTTTAATTATAGATTTATCTATAATAAAGATTTTATTTTATATATATATATATGCACGCTATTAAAAATATATAAAATGCATTTGTAGGTTTCATTTAAACAACTTTAAACAAATAATTAAAATTTAAACAATTAGATAATGCTGCCTTTCAACAGTGTTAAAACATCACACAAGCCAAGCTGAGTTTGCGAGGTATAAAAACACATGCACTGTCATGTCCGAAACACTCTCACAACGTTGGGCCATCTTTATTGTTAAACCCTGACATCAAATTTTGAGACATGATAAACAGCTGTTGTGTTTTCTTCCACTGTCATTCCCTGCATATGTAATTTCTGCTTGAATTTCATTATTTTTCTCTTTTAAACAATATAGAAGTGCTATCATTTAACATTAACACCGTGTGTGACTCTCCTCTTTTTGTGTTTCTCTCTCTTTCAGACTATGACTACATCTCCCTGCATGGAGGAGAGGACGCCCACAGCCAGTCTGAATTTGATAAATCTTCCACAATTCCTCGCAACAGCGACTTGAGCCTCAATTACCGCAAAATGTTTCAAAGCAAGAGGCCGGCGTCTACCGTCAGTCTGCTGATGGATCCGGAGCCTATAGGACCCCACACGGCCACCATCCGCCGTAAACCCTCCAGCAAGCCCAACATCCGCCGTGGGACCATCAGTGGAGGAGTGCCTATCCCCATCTCCACACCACAGGTCCTTCATCTACTCAAACTCTAGTCAGAAAATTCTTAAACAGTGTTCAGGAGACCTGCTGGAATATCTGTCATAATTTGGAACCAGTCGTGAAGGATTGTGAATTTTCATAAAGAATTCCAGCACAGTATTATTTTCAAACACATTGTTTCTAAAATAACTTTTACAACTACAAATAGGATGAATGCCCCTGTAGGACATAAAAATTTATTTCTTTCAGGATTTTAATGTGCTTACAGCCCACACTACTGTTTAAAATTTTGGGTCAGTCATTTTTTTTTTCTACTTTTATTCTTACTTTTATTCAGCAAGGATACATTCAATTGATCAAAGTTAACATTAAAGACATTTATAACTTTACTTTACTTTATAACTTTACTGTTCTTTAGAACTTTCTATTCAAAAGAATCCTGAAAAATGTCCAAGTTTCCACAAAGATATTAAGCAACTGTTTCCAACATTGATAATAATAAGAACTGTTTCTTGAGCAGCAAATCGGTATATTAGAATGATTTCTGAAGGATCATGTGACACTGAAGACTGGAGTAATGATGCTGAAAATTCAGCTTTGCATCACAGGAATCAATTACATTTTTTAAATAGAAAAAATTAAATCTCAATAATATTTCACAATATTACTGTTTTTACTGTATTTTTTACTGCATATGTTTTTACTGTATCAAATAAATATAGCTTTATTGAGCATAAGATACTTCTTTCATAAACATTAAAAAATCTTACCAACCCCATAAGTTTCAAATGTAGTATATAATGTTTATATATAGTAGTATTGGCTGTTTTAGACCAATTATTTTGTTTTTGATGCAAATCATACAGTTCCTGTATTTTTCATAAATAAAATTGGTTCTCAATTCCACAGCAGCAGAGGCAATATCATCATCATCAACAACAACAACAACAACAGCAATATAATCAACAACAGTACAATCACCAACAGCAATATAACCAACCGCAGGAGCCGCAGTATCAACAGATACATCAAAAAGAGCTCCAGCAGAAACATCAAAATCAGCAGCAGATTCAAAACATGGCTGCTCACAATTCTAGCGTGCCCACTGAAAGCGTGCAGATCAATTCCGCCCAGCCTGGCGTGGATCATGTCGACGGCGTTCCTGATCCAGGCAGCGGAGGTGATATGTTGAGTATGATCCGGAGAGGAGTCAAACTACGTCGGACACTTACCAATGATCGTTCGGCGCCTTTAATCACCCCCAACCATCTCAACTGATCACAGCTTTATTTTTCCTGTGCTTTGAATTCATCTGTGACTTTTTACGGTTGCCTTTTCCGTCTTTTCGTTTAGTGACTTACTTTTTTCATGCCTTTTAATGTTGCGGTTTGCATATTTTTTTGTTTTGTTTTTAAGTGGAGGCAAAACAGTTGACTAACGTGCGACTCCTGCCACAAGAAAAGGCGTTTGATTTAACTACACTGTGCTAGAACAACAAACGTTTCGCAGTGTCCGTGCGAATGTTGCCTGTCAATAAATTAAAGTTAATTCTGCAGGCTGTGTGCTTTACATATATATGTATACCTATATGCACAGATATATATGTATTTAGAGATCTAGATTGAGCATCGGAGCTTAAGATATATTAAAGTTATTTGTTTATGTTGTATTCAAAAGGATAAAGCACTCAGCCTTCTGGTTAGAGATCAAAAACTTCTGTATATATTAGCGAATCAATTGAAAGACTGTTGTATTATTATTCATTTTGTTTTTTTGTTGGTTTTCGAAATTAGATAAAGCAGCACTAGGCGTCTATTTTTGTACAGTTTAGGGTAACAGAAAACTGCACCACTGCCTTTAATCCGCCCAATGACTGGATGCCGAATGCAGCCAATGAGAGGAATGGAGGGAGGGAAGGAGCGATGTGATTGGGTGGATGAATGAAGGACTGGAATAGTGGATCTTATTTGTGTTGCTTATGACTGTGAGAGCTTATGAAGGCATCACTGTGGTTATTTATTCAACCTGTTTGATTCTGAATCATTTTTAATCATTTTTAATTCTGTTGCAAGTTGCCTTTGTTTGAAATCAGTGTCCCATCCCTCCACCAATTTAAGTAAAGCTTATTCAGTGGAAATGTAGGGTATACTTGTCTTTTCACTTTCACTCAGGTCTCATGAAACTTTTAGTGCATCTTAAATAGGGGGGGGGGCAGAATAAAACTGAGACGTGATTTGGCTTATTGCGATCAATATCAAATTGCAATAGCTTTGAAAATGAATATATAGGCACTGTATGTTTCAGCGTGAAATGCAGCACTGCATTCTTTTACACACGAGCAGCTCGTGATCCGATGATTTCAGTATCTCTAAATCTGCTCATCTGATCCACATGAACTTGTAAGTTTGGGACACTTATAACGTGTATTTGGAAACACACCATGCACCATCCATCTTCCCAAACTTTTAATGAGAAGCGCTTATATAATGCCGACTGTTGTCAACAAAAGAAAAGCCCTGCAGTTTTCCACCAAAACAAAAGCTTTATGGTTTGAAAAAGAGTTAATTTGATTCAATTATTGTACAGTTGCACTGTAAAAAAATTTTTTAATAAAATTACAGTACAATTAATATTTTACCATCGTATTGATGTAATTATAACATTTTTGGCCAAATTGTACAGCCCTTCAAACAAGCGCAGCAAATCTGGACCTAAAATCTGGATATTGATATTGACAATATAAATTTTTACCAGAAAGATTGCAATGAGAAGTTAACATTACTAACTGCTCGTTATAATAGCTTTCTCCTGCAAATAAGCGTGTGCAGAATGTTTGGATATATGTTAATAATTAAAGTGGTTCTGTTTTCTTAATTGAAAGTCAATGCTGGACGTTTGCTTTCAAGCTTGAAGTGCATCACCAATGCCTTGAACATGTTTAATATAAGGTTTAATGAATTGAACATCATTTTTAGCACCTCTAAAAGAAGCACTTCTGCGGTCTGACAGCATCTCTCGCAGGCATCTGTACTCTCTTTGATGTCTTATAATTTATCACATCTGTCACGCACGTGCTGGCTGGTGCGCTTTGAACTTTCCCTCCTGCTGCAAAAGTTGCTTCTTCATATCTTACCGCATTCTTTTTTCTTTTTTTTTTACCGCTCCCTGTTTTTTGTATACTTTTCAGGTTATTCTCAATCTAGGGTTACTTCACACCTGTCTGAGCCGTGTCTAGGATTTCTCGCCCCCTCTCCATCTGAATGCTCAATTGTTTTGTCTCTCTTCAGTGATTCAGATGTGGCCAGAGATGTTCACTGCTGACACAATGCTCCTCAGGCCTTTTACTGTAGGATTAGCTTGCAGCTGCTGTACGGCGCTCCTGGAGTGTAAAAGAATATCGTTTTACTCTGAAAGGTGAGCTGACCGGGGTGTTTCTCCACTAATCTGCATTGTTATTAGTGCTGCTCAGGGCAGTAATGTCTGAGGTGTTTAACTTGTGTTAAGGAGAGCTTTTCTTTGCTGAGATATAGTGATGGTGGATCATAATGAGCTCTGCCTGTTGCAGTGATTGATCATCCTGCTTGACCCAAAATGTTAAACTTGCGAGATCGGAAGGTGGAATGCAAAGTGCCCAAGAGTTTTTTTTTGTTTTTTAGACTTTTTGATTTTTGCCATTTTTTGTTAACATGTTTTCTCACATTTGATTTAATGCATTCTGTATCTAGACCATTTCATGTTATAAGCATCAATGGAAAGGGATGAATGTCAAATTAAAGTGAAGAAAACTTAATCATTGTGAACCAATCTCTTCTGGGACTTTAGTGGTCACTAAAGCAATAAGCCACAAGAAAGCTGTTTACGTGATTTTAATTATGGTAATGTGGGTGGTTACCAGGGTGTTGCTATGTGGGCGCTATGGTGTTTCTGATTGGTTTTTAGCATTATGCTATATGCAATTGTTATTGTATGACAGGTAAAAAATTGTATACTACTTGTATACAAATTGTATAATGTTTAAAAGTTTGGGGTTAGTAAGATTTAAAGAAATTAACACATTCATCAAGGATGCATTAAATTGATTAAAAGTTCCAGTAAAGACATTAAGTTGTAGATTTCGGTTGTTCTTTTAACTTTCTATTTATCAAATAATCTTGAACAAAGTATCTGTTTCCACAAAAATATTAAGCAGCATGGCTGTTTTCAACATTAATAGTAAGAAATGTTTCTTGAACAGCACATCAACATCAATGATTTCTGAAGGATCATGTGACACTGAAAACTGGAGTAATGATGCTGAAAATTCAGCTTTGATCACAGGAATACATTTCAAAACCAAAATAGAAAACCATTTTAAATTTTAATCATTTTCCCAATATTACTGTTTTTACTGCATTTTTAAACAAATAAATGCAGCCTTGGTGCGCAGAACAGACTTCTTTCTGAAACATTTAAAAAATCTTACAGATACCAAACTTTTGAATGGAAGTATGATTCTGAAAACTTGGAAGAGTAATGCCACACCTCTCCTCAACAAACAATGAGCAATAGTAATAGCAATCGGTTATCAAACAACACAACTAGGAGTATTAATATAAAAAGTAATGTCAGTACCAACGACTTTCCAACAAAACAGTCCTTTTATGTTTTTATATTATTTTATATTATATTAATGTTATTATTGACGTCAAGTGTGTGTGGATTCAGAGGTGTGTGTGTTAAACATCCCTCCATGTTTAGACCTCGTCGTCATCATCATCATCTTCCGCTACCGTCCCTCATGTCTGTAAGTCATGCTGAAGCCTCAAACAACATGGAATATGTGATTTAGAAACATACCAAAGTTCAAAAGGACGTATCTTCATTTACTGAACAAATCATTTTCATTTGTTCTTATCCGTACATTTGTATTTAAGCTTAAAAATAAGAAATATTTGGGATTTTGCATGTGGTAATTATTTTTTAAAGCATTTTAGTTAAGTTAGATCTTATTTACTTAGCATTTACTTATTTACTTGCACCTTATCTTACTTACTTTATTTACTTATTAATGCCCAGGGTTAAGGTTTAG